CCATATGTAATGTCACAGATGCAAATTCACAGTGTCACGCAAAGGCATAATGCCAAACCTGACACATTGCCCTATACAATTGCCGGTAATCATCACCCCTTTCACATCCACCTATATGGTGGCGGCCGGATGACCAACCGCCCCTGACGATCATGGACATTGTTTTCTTGACATCAAACTGCCATCCCAATGCATCCCAACAAAATTTAAAAAAATTAAATTTAATAAAAAATCGAGAGAGGACCCAGTCATTCTTGAAATCAAAGCTTTGAGAGAGAATGATGGGGGTGGGGTATGAATCTGAGAGGGGTGGGGGAGGCAGCAGTGATGGCACCAGAATTAGATGGCGACAACGGTGTGTCTCCGTCAAAATAATTTTTCATACCAATTTTACAAAATAATTTCCTAAGTAAATTTAAATTTAAAATTAAATGTACCACTTATGTCAAACTGAATATAAATTAAGAATAGAAGATGAGGTTAAAACTTTAAGTAATATGCTAATTGGAAGAACACAACGAGAGCTTGAGGGAAAAAATTGAATGTTGGTTAAATCACTATGCTCTGGCGACAAAGACAACCATAAAATTGAGAAAAAAATTGGGATGCAAGGGGAAAAACAAAAATCTAGAGTACTCCTTATGTGAGGCAGTGAGTCTTGGGATGGATAATTTAACTTTGAGAAGAGAGAAAAGAAGGGGCAACAGAGGGAGAGAGAAGTCTATGTTGATAGGGGCGCCGATTCTAAAAGTGCCATGAGAGAGAATAACATTTAGATAAATTGGAAGGGTTGTACGGTTTAAGAATGCATTGACTACTCTTATTTTGAGAAGTTTAACTTTGTGCTCCTATATTGAGGATGGGAGAAAGACCAAAGTAGGACTAAAACATTGAAAACATATCAAAATAGGACTTCCATGTTTTTATTCACGAAATAGGACTTACATTACCAAACATGGTCATATACATTACCAAAAAAGTATAGTAATCTGCACATGTACACTGCCACATTACCACAATGCAAAATCACATTACCACAGTGCAAAGTACTATTCCGGGAAAAAAACATGAAAGTCCTATTCTGGTACTTTTCTATATGTTTTAATCCTATTTAGGATGATTTCTAATTGAGGATAGAGGCTATGATTTAGTCTTATTTGGGGAGTTTTCTTTTGGAATTGAGGGCTTCAATTCCAATTCTTATGTTTGGTATCACAAAAATTATGTGAATTTGGAATTGTTAGTGCAAAAAATGAATTGGAATTAGTGAATTCAATTCTATGGAATTGAATCTCATGGAATTTTAATTCCAATTCAATTCCAATTCCGTCAATTTCATGTACCAAACGGACCCTTACACTATGTTTGGTTTATGGAATTTGGAAGGAAAAGAAAAGAAAATGATTTTCTCTCATTTTCCTCCCCAAAATGGGAGGAATATAATTTTGTTTTTCATCTTCTTAGTATATTTTGCCTTCTTATTTTCTTTTCCTCCCACTTTTCCTTTCTTTTCCTCTCTAACCAAACAAGAAAACCTATTTTCTACTTAATTTTCGTTTCTTTTCCCTATCAAATTCCTTGAACCAAACATTTTGTCTTCTCATTTTCTTTTCCTTCAACTTTTCCTTTCTTTTCCTTTCTAACCAAACAAGAAAACTTATTTTCCACTTCATTTTCTACTCTTTTCCCTTTCAAATTCCTTGTACCAAACATAGTGCTAGGGAATTCAAAAAAACGAAAGAGGAAACAATTTGTGAAACGGGGGACTACTGGGGAGTAATAAAAACAATATATTTTAAGTATTTTTTTTCAAGTTCGTTAATTAATTACTAGCTAGCTCACATCAGAGTAGGACAGCCATGCCAATTAATGGGGGATTGGAGAATGTTAATTAATTAATAATCATACGGAGTACCTATTTACAAAGATAATGAAATCACACGCACATATCTTCTTCGTCCCGTTGCAAATTGATAATCTTGAATATATATAAGCTGGAGGACGACGACCAAAAGTTGGTGTAACTTTCAATACCTTCTATATAAAAGTTTTAATTATAATTCTGATCCTCCAAAGAAAGTTAATACTTAATTGGATGTATTTAAACTTGAAAAATTTACCTAAATATGACAAAAATATAATGACTTTCTCAATATAAGACCATATATTTTTATTTCCTAATGTAAGACCGTTGGTCATTATTTAAGTCCCATTTAGGCAATCAAACAATTTAAGTGCTACATTGGAAATGACTTATATTTTAGTCTTATTTAGTGTAAATTTTTCTTTAAACGTTACCAGAGTATGATCATTAGTTAGATAACAGTTATGAATACGATAATCATAAGAATATTAGAAAACAAAGCGTAGTAACCCTAAGGGAAAAATGTTGGGGATTTAACACACAAGACACACAAATATCAGTGAGAATCAAGAGAGAACGGAATACAAACGACACACAAGAATTCAACGTGGTTCGATTTCTCTAATCCACGGCTGCAACATGAGGATTTTATTCATTTGTCGTGTCTCCCGAATTACAAGTACAAGATGCGCATATATAAAAAGATATCTAGTGCTACGGAACTTGTTTCCCAAGAAACAAGAAACAAATAAACGGGTTAAAAATAAACCGGGCCAGTCTAAGTCAAGTCCAAAAATATCTAGCCTCCACAAACCCAACATTCTCCCACTTGGAGGCTTGATAATCATCAACTGTCATCCGTCATGATAGCTTGTAGCGTCGTCATGTGTTGGTCCACTCTTTTGATTCAATGGTCATGACTATCAAGAAAATCTTAGGATTAGGGGCGAGGAGACATTTAAATAATACTTTTGCACAAAGAGATAGATCAAACTTCTCTCTTAAACTTTGAACAACTTGCCAAAAAGCACTCTTGTCTTAGAGCATTGTGTCTTTATTAGAGAGACCACCGAGATCAAAATCGAGAAGGGGCCTGCGCCAATGCACCCCCATAATCAGAATCTAGCTTGAAAGAGTCATGAAGAATGTTGTCCTAGAAATTCCATGATCGTGCCCTCGAGGCCACAAAAATGTACTATGTATGAAGATCAAAGTTTGTCCATACGAGACAGTCAAATTGGATAATACTACGTATACTCGAGCAAACAGCCTCGTTTGATACATGGAATTCAAACAATGAAATTTGAATTGGGAACGACAATTCCAATTCTGTTGTTTGGTAACACAAAAATATGTGGATTTGGTGTTGGTAATGCCAAAAATGTTGGAAATTCAATTTCATCCAAATCAATTATATAGAACTTTAATTCTCAATTCAATTTCAATTCCATCGATTCTATGTACCAAAGGGACACTAATTATTCAAAAAGCTTTGAAATGGTCAAAAGAAGAAAGGTAAAAAACATTCGAGATTAAGAAAATAATTACCAATGTTCAAAACTTCAAGGAGAAGAAAGTAAACCTTTGTTGGCATTAAAAGTCTTTATTTTGCTACTTTGTAACAAGTAGGCTAACTTAACGCGTTTTTAAATATACTCAGTAGATCGTATTTTCAACTCAACTTTTTTGAATTTAATTTAGACTCTTTAGGTACATGATAAAATTAGAGACGTCAACTATATTTATATTGTTAGGTAGTTTAAATTCTAATTAAAAAAAATTTCAATTTCACATTTTAAATTACATAATAATGGAAAAGATTTTAAAATCCAAAATTTGATTTTTACATGTCAAAGGTAGATCACCTGAGTTATTTTCACGTCATAACAATAAAACGAGTCTTATAGATTTTGCGTGTGTTTTTGAAAATGGCTTTTCAGCTGTTTTGGCTTCTTTGAATAATATTGGTTTCTTTGAACTAATAAAAAAAGCCAAATTAAAAATTTAAAACTATCGGAGTAAAAAATAAAAATTAGAAACAAAAATTGAAAATTTAAGTTTTAAGATATAAAATTTAAACTTTAAATTTAAAATTTTAAAATTCAAAAATTAAAAATTTAAATATAAATATTAAAATTTAAAATTAAAAACTAAAAAAATAAAAATATAAAAATATAAAATAAGTACTGGTATTTTACAATTAAAAGATTAAAATTAAAAATTAAGATTTTGAAATAAAAACTAAATATTTAAAATAAAGAGCTAAACAAATTAGTTATTCAGAACACCTAACATGGTCGCCCAAGAACGAGCTGATACCAATATTGTACTCCCTCCGTCCCAATTTAAATCGCTTGTTTTGACTTTTGGGCATATTTAAGAAAAATAAAAAATAGAGTTGATTTTCTGAAATTGTCATTACTTTTTACGAGGGGTGGTGATGAATGAGAAAATAAGGTGAAGAAGAGTGACTTATTTTAGGGGTAGTTTAGTTATTTTATTTTTAAAAGTTTACGAAAACAACTAACAGGCTACTTATTTTGGGACGGAGAAAAAAGGCAAACATGTAATTTAAAATGAGACAGATGGAGTATTAGATAAGGAAGAACTTTGGGTCTTTTCAAGCTCCAAGGAGGAAGGCAGTAATAGAGGTAAAAGACTTCGAACACTTTCGAGGTCCCAAGATAAAGGAGACAAAGATTGAAAATAATTCGTGTGTATTTATTGATTGATTAACTAATAATGATGAAGCGTCACAATATTAAAAAAAGTAGAGGTCACCTAATTGACCTAATGAACTCATGGGTGCATACTAAAATCCAAAACATGATTAACTATAAAATATTAACAATAATATGATTTTTACTATCTTAACATTCACACCCTCTTAGAAAACCACCATTTCTCAGGATGGAGGCTTCCTCTCGTGTTGTTGGACATGTGAGAAAATAACAATAACAACAACCCAATTGAATCTCACTACAGTAGGGTCTGAGGGGTGTGTACGCAGACCTTACCCCTACTCGGAAGTAAGGAGGCTGTTGGACATGTGAGAAAATATTAAACAAAAAAGAAGTCCACACGATGACCCATTTTTCAAGAATTGTGCCAGTTGGAGTGTAGAATTGGATTTATGAGAGAAGACAAGTTTGTATTGAACAACCTCCTTTGAAACAAAGTATTCAGACTTGACAACATTAGCAAGGTCAAACAAAGTGATTGTGTAAAACAAAAATGAGTTGTTGGTCTACACTCACTTGAACTTCATACTCGCATTGTCCACAACACCTCATGCGCTGATTGGTGTATCATAAAATACAAGATCCAGTACAATCATCACTTTGAATATTAACGATATCTTCCTCCATGGTGTGAAACACATCATTATTTCCATTCTCAGCATACAATTCAGTGCTTAGTCCCTCAGATCCAACTACATCCTCCATAAATATCTTTAACGGCTAGCTTGCCCTGAATTTCTAAGAATCATATAGTATTTACAACAATCAAACACAATAACATATAATCAGATATTATAAAAATAACCTGGTGTATTCATGAAAAAGTGTAAAACTTAAGAGAACATGTATATTACAACAAAAGTAAAAAATAATTTATAACATGTTCATCCATGTATTAGCGGGTTAAATGTCACGCAAGCGGCATTTCAAAGGACACCATCCCCAATGTTTTCAAATATGGAGTATTCAATGGGAAGATATCTTTATAACATCCAAAATGAAGATGCTCTTTTAGTGAATTTAAAAAAGAATAAAAAAGAAGATAACATTGAACAAATATCAAGTACACTTATGGGAGTCTGTGAGAGTTTTCTTGTGTGATAAACTTAAGGGACACATATTTGTACCTAAAATCTGCACTTATTACTAAAGGTCTTTAATAATATCAAATTCAAGAATTTAACATATTCTAAGTAAACATATTATTTTATATGCCATACCACAACCACAGAAACTGAAAATTTAAAAGAAGCTCACAAAAAACTAATCGTTCAAGCATCAAAAATAAATTTGACAACTACAAAGACTATGATCCTATGAGACTTGATGAAATGTTCATTAATAGACCTACTTGAAACAAAATACCACGCCAAACAATGTCATAAAGCTAGATAAATAAATAAGAGTGATATAATTCTATTCCTATTTAACTTTTCTCCTCTAAAATTTATTGCAATGCTCTATGCATGTCCGATTTGATAAGTCCTTTTCTGCATTAATTACTATCTCAGGTATTGGAGTAACCTTTAGAAAGTTAAATAAGAGTACAGCTCCAGGTATTGGAGTACTACGTCCAGATTCTCTAAAAATAATTGACAAACCAATCAAAACTTGAACAAAGCGCTTTAGAAGCTATTTAGCCCAAATATATAGAATTTGCAACTTATGGTTTAAATTCAACAAATATCATTTTGTATTCAATAACCAACCACAATTGCAATAGGAAATGTCAGCATAAAAACAATCATCTAAACAACGAAAGGCTACCAGTGGCTATGAAAACATTACTTTTCAGTTGAAGAGTGGATTAGATGGTAGAGGACGCCTGCCTGCTATGCGGTTCTTTTACATGGAAAATCAAACTAAAATTGTAATTGGAAAATTGTAATTGGAGCTGTGTACATACCTGGCCCCCAACCCCCTTTGTCCAAGCAAGATCCAATCGTTGTTGATGTGGCTACGTCTTTATGAGTCATTTCGTCGAACACACAGTGAGCATTGCTCATCCAAACCAATTCATTATCTTCACCTACAAAATTAGACATCTACTTGAGTAAATATGTAAAATCGCAGATAAGAAGAAGAAGAAGAAAAATAAAATGGGGAAGTAGAAGACCTGCAGCTGTAGGCAACCCTAGGTCGAGGCTATTTCACGCAGCCCTCCCCTGCTATTTTTTATCAGAGATGGAGATGCTCGCTGTCGTTGTGCGGTCGTGGAAGAGAATCGGCCAGCGGAAGGATAGAACCCATAATCCGGAAGAACCACGCTGCGAACTCCGGCAGAAGATGAGAGCGGCGACGCACGTCTCTACTGAAGCACCACATCTGAGAGGATGAATGACAGCGTTGAAAGAAACCCTAGACAAAATCGCGTGCGAAATCCTAGACCAAAATCGCCAGTACTCCAGTGCTCCAAAGTCCAAAGCTTCTCTCGTGCGAAATCCCAGACCAAAATCTCGCGAAGCCATTCAAAAGCTTCTCTCGGAAGATGATTGACTATCCCAGACCCAAAGCTTCTCCAATACTCCAGTCCTGAGTGAGTATGCCGGAAGATTTTTATCCGAATGTGCGGTTCACATCTCTCACGGTTACTGTAGCTATAAAATGGGCGGGAACACTGTTCACAATGCCCTCTTAGCATTGTATATTGTATATAGTAAGATTCCCCTGTCCCACAAAAAAGTTTTATATAATTGGATTCTTCTTAGGATCTAGTTTTGGCTCAAATTTTTTAGCATTTCTTTATTTATATTATATTTAATTTATGGTCAAAGCTTGTAACTGTTTAACCAAAAATACATCAAAATGGAAACTTTTTTGTGGGACGGAGTATAACTCTTCGGTTAGTGAGATGGCTTATAACATCCATCATGTTTTTAAAAAAAAATTATAACTCTAAAAGAATCAAACTCGATAAAATCATGGGACCATGCACCAGATCTTATATTGAGCAAGATTTCTCATTTCTATGTCAACTACTTATAAGTCAGAATCATAGTTTCGTTAAGCTGCAATATCACAAAACTACCGAGTTTCTTTAGAAGTTCATCAACAAAATCATAATCTCCACACACCCCCCCCCCCCTGTCTAAGTCAAATTTTCTATAAAGAACATTCTCTACCAAATCAATAAGTTTAACCAATAATCAAAACCTGTAACCTAACCGTATGGTCTCAATTCGAGATCAAACATATTGTTGCATTTGAACCAACGATTGAGTAGATGCATCTATCCTCTGAGTACCGCGCGATCTAGACGGCTCTTCACAAATTTGGACGGAAAAAATATGGAAGTGATCGGGAAAACATGGATCCGTCCAGCGGGAGAGATTCTTTGTGGCGGCGATTAGTCTGTGGCTCCAAATCAAGAGAGCAAGTTGTTGGGTTCCAGCGGCAATGCAATATTTCTTTTAAACTCTTCAATTCCCCTTCCGGGCTACTATTCCTCTTCTACTGAAGCGGTGAACTGCAATTCGTCCAGCTAGATTCAATTCGCCCAAGACAACGATTTGAGACGACGACTTTTTTCTCGGTAGTGACCAGCAATTTTTTTTTTTTTTTGAGGAGATGCAACAGTGCTCTCCCGGGTAGCGGTGGTGGCAGAAACTTGGGATGCGGATCAGCGGATGTGGTGTTGTTTATGATTTTTTTTTTGTGTGTTCAAAAGGCACTAATTGATACAAATAAAACCTCGAGCTTTTTCAAGCTCTAAAAAAAATGCAAGAGAGAGATTAATAATTTCCAGTGTGTTCAGGCTCCAAAGAGAAAAGAGACAGATTAAGAATAATTTTTGTATATTGATTGATACAATAATAATGATGAAAGGTTACAATATAAAGAGTAGATGTTATCTTAATAAAAAAATATCTCTAGATAAGAGTAAAAAAATATAAAAATAACGTAAATTTTTAAAATAGTACTCCCTATGTCCCACTATATTTGTCCACTTTCATTTTTGCACACCATCCAATGCACTTCTTTAATCCATTTTATCTTGTAATTTATAGATTAAAAAATTATAGAAAATTATATATTAATAATCTATATGTTAAGACAAATCAAACAAGATCACACATGACTATATTTAGGCTTACACATTGAGAGAATTTGATGAGTCAAAGTGCTTAGATGAACAATTCCAAAAGTCAAAAGTGGACAAATATAGCAGGAAGGATGTAGTAGTCAATAACTCTCTCTCTCTATCTCTCTGCGATGAGACCCATCGTGCTCAATTCTCCCTTGAGATACCATTTGATTATTAGGTAACTACTCTCCTCGAAAATCTAAAATTTTCACCTTCTTGTGTTTTGGATTTGCGTGATTTGTTTTTAAATTTGTCAATTTTTGATTGATTGTACTCCCTGGGTTCCAATATATTTGTTCAGTTTAATTTTTTCGAGTCAAACAAGATAAATTTTGAATTTCAATTAAACATAAATTGTAATGTACTCCCTCCGTTTGGAAAAACACTTCCTATTTGATTTGGGGGCAAAAATAAGAAAGTGTTAAATTACACTCCCTCCGTCCCTAAATAGATTACAATTTTTTTCCTCTCTCCTCTCGATAACTTTTGTTTGTTTACGCGATTTCATTAAGTATTTGATAAAATAAAATATTCTTGTCACCTCTTATTTTGTAGAACTTTTGACGTAGTTTTTTAATATGTAATTTTTATATCTTATTGATATACCAATTTGTAAATAAAATGATTTCAAAAAGTAGAAAATTTTACTCCGTAACCCGCAATTTGTAATCAAATTGGGAACGGAGGGAGTAGTTGATTTCCAATTTTGCCCCTGATGTGATGGGTAAAAGTAAGATGTGATGAATAGATTATTAGAGAAAAAGTATGATGTGATAGGTAGGGTATGAAAAAGTAAGGGTAAAAGTGGTTTTTTAATAGAAAGGAGAAGTGTTTTGTTGGAGGTGGAAAAAATGAAAGAGGAAGTGTTTTTGAGAACGGAGGGAGTATATTAATATTAAAATACTTCATTATATTTATCTTGTTGAGAATTTTCAAAACTTGATTTCATTGTATTAATATGCGAGACAAGTTGAGAATAATTGAAGATCAAAATTTATTCAATTTTATTTAGAAAAATTAAACTGGACAAATATATTAGGACAAAGTTAGTAATTTTTAGCTAGTATTTTAAATGTGTTTTAATAACTCTGCTACGAGAAATTTTCAAAATATAATTTCATATCAATTCTCTTTTTTTTGAAATTATTTCATATCAATTCTATATACAATTTTGTGTTGTCAAATGAAGAATTTGGAATTATAATATAGTTATATATCAATTCTTTAGTTATACCAAATAAAATATTTGAAATTATATATTAATTCAATTCCGTTCAATTTCATAGAAATTTAACTCTAATTCTACTTCAAATCCAATTCTGTGTATCAAGTGCAGCCAATTAGACGTAAGTCATGTAAGTAATTGAAATGTAGTAAAACCAATTTAGCTAAATTTAACTGAACGGAAGTAGGAATAGATTTAAAGATAAGGAATTCTTAATTAAAATTTGTGTTACAATCCAAAAATACTCCCTCCATCCTAAAAAGATTTACACTCTTCATTATTCAAAAGTCACAAAAACTTTTGTTTATTTGTACATTTTGGTTAATTATTATATAAAACAAAATATTCTACCCTTTCGTGCTTTTGATTGGCTACAAATTTTGCTCGCAAGTATTTTGTTCTTTCCCTAAAAAATGATCCAAATATGAGCTAAACATCAAAAAGCATATGGAGCACACTCACCAATTACCATCCATCAACATGAATAATAACCTCATGAAATGACAACTTCCTAATTCTCCATTTCATGCTCCATTTCAACAGTGTGCGCGTGCCTACATACTCATTGATTTTTCAGTTCAACATTCATTGCTTTCTTTCTTAACTTTTGAAAGTCAAACTAAGAAGATAATGACTCCTCTATTTTTGTGTTAATACGCGCAATTCCTTTGGTTCATATTTGGTGTATCTGAAAATCTATGGATTTTCTCACATAATTACATAAACAGATACATTAGGTCATGACTTGTGATGCATATTTACTGATTCTGTTTTTCACTAATTTATGGTGCACGTATGATTCATTGTAAAGGTACACCAAAAGGGCAACCTCCCACTAGCAGATCACAAAAAATAATTTTGACAGTAAAAGTGCTAGGATCTTTTGATACAATTGACTTTCCTCTTGCCCTCTCAACCTCAAAATCATGTTGCTTTGTTAAGCTGCTAAACCCATGTAAAACATAACAGCATGAACCAAATGGAAGTGGGGGGGGGGGGCAGGGTGGGGGGGGGAGCTCGGCTTTCGCGTAAGCCAACCAAGATCTGACCGGAAGTAGCTATTAGTTGCGGAGCGTAATGCACATAACATAGTAAGCATGCATCTAACCCAGTATAGAAGTGATTAACTACTTGCCACTTCAGGAACTACTACTGGAAAATCCTTCTCAGGTTTCCTTTCAAACCGGTAATTGGCAGCTTCGATCCACTTTGGATGGACTAGGAACTTTTTGTTCTGCCGTGCCCAGCGTGACTTTTCAGTCCCAGCATCCATTGAGACCACGTGTGTCACGGATTCGTCTACTTCGATTGAGCATGTAGCTCCAAGCTGCTCAGCAATTCTCCAAAGGTGATGCTTCTCTGCCTGGATGTTATTTGGGAAGACCCGGCTGAAAACAATTTTGCAACCTTTCAGCACTTCCTTCCGGACTCCTTTTAGCACCTATCATGACAATCGAAAGAGTGTGGTTTGTTATAAAACCCGTTTAAACTCCCAAACCGAATGAGTAACTGGTGCACTACTTTTTTTTTCCATCACCAACCCACCAATACAGCTGCACAGTGAAATAAGTTGGTGTTTAATGACTAAATCCAGAGCTAACAAGCTTAAAATTGAATCAGAAAGGGCTTATTTTGCTCACTAATAGAATGACAACAAATAGTAGCGTTTGACTTGCTTATTTGGATGAAATTGATTTTTTTACTTAATACTCTCCCTTCCAGAAAATTCAATAAAGACAGATCAGCCAAATAATCCTTAAAAACACGCTAAAAGTGTTTGATGGCACAGATAGACACAGCCAACCTACATAAGTAAACATAATGGCTCCACCATACTTCTTACCTCTCTCACATCAGACTTTAGCAGATCATCTCCCTGTTTCTGAAAAAGTAGGGCAAGGCAAGTTTAGTGAATATACTTCAATTCATAAGAACAAAATTATGGAAAATAAATACATTATATTAGGGTACCAGGTCAAAGAAAAGACTGTGGATCTGTTTAAGAATTTTAAGAATGGCCACAAGTGCTCCTTCCTCTTCGCTTTCATCAATCTGACGTTGTGAAAGTGATTTACAATCAAAGCCGAATTGCCGAACACTTGAAGAAAAAAAATGATATCTTTCCACTAGTATTAGATTCTCTTTGTGCTTTCCCCATACCTACAAGAAAGAGGAATTGTTGAGTACTCTTGTTTGGACTTCGAACATAAGAAGAGGTTAAGTCGTGCAACTTTTCTTAAAGCATACTGGAAGTCAGAATAAGGTAGCCATTGTTAGCAACATTTTTTTAAAGGCAACATTTATATTTTATACTACCTCATTGACAAGGGAAAATGTGAAAGGACAAGGAATTATTTTATTTGTGATTGAAAAATCACAAATACACCCCAAAAAGATTATGACGCACAATTCATAATCAAAAGTAGAAACTTAGACAATTTTGTAACTTGGGCAGAAGACGCTTAAGCAACAACAACCCAATCGGATTCCATAAAAGTAGGGCCTCACGAGGGTCTCAAGAGGGTGTGTGTAGGCACACCTTGCCCCTACTCGAAAGTAGAGAGGCTGTTTCCAAAAGAAGATGCTTAAGCATTTTAATAAATATGAAATGACTCACTGCTTCAGTATCATCAAGGATTAGGACAGAACTTTCTTGTCCTAAAACAATATCAAGCCCTTTTAAATGTCTCTGTGTTGAATCTCCTTGTGCAATCACTTTCGAATGGAAGTACACATCTCTAGGGTCCAACAATTTTGCCATTTCCAGTGCATATGGGCGTTCACCCATAGTATATATATACATCTCAAATAACTCACTGGCTTCTTTCAGAAAATTGTGCACATATGGCCTCAACTTTGTCATCATGTGAATCCTGTCCAGCCTAAAAAAGCTGCCTTTCAAAGCATCTGTTTATCTCAAGTTGGCATGTAATTAGTGAAATTATCAGCTTGAACCCCACACACCCACACACACATACATATATATATATATATAGGAAGTTGATTTTATATACTATAACTACCTGCACTCATTGTGTCTCATGATATTTTCCATGCAAAAGGAAAAGGTTAAGATGACGACAATGGAATATTTTGAAATTTCATCTCATTATTCATTCTTCAAAAGGTTTCGCATGAAGGGCATCGGGTGCAAATGTTTGAAACCGTGTTTTTTCAGAAATTTATATATTAACTTTATATAATTGACACTATAAACTAGTGCCATTGACCCCATGCACGGTTATCACATCGACAAGTAGAATCAAGTCATCAGCAAACAGACTAACGAACTAGTCGATCTACTAGTTGACAATTAGTAGACAAGTCAACATATGTAATATACTGCAAGATATACTCCACATAGGTCTATATTAATTCTATTAAAAATAAAACCAAAAATAGATAGATCTGCAAAAAACAAATGCACACAGGCCCCGGGTCCTTCCCCCAAAAAAAGTGAACAAAATTAAAAATGAAATGTTGGACAGTCGGAAACTGTAAGATACTCCCTGTGGGTCAGAAAAAGAAAATATTGTGTCAGTTTACTCCATCACATCCACCATTTGTCACTTTGAACCGCACCCTAGGTTGAAGGAGGTGATTTGATGATGGATTGAAGTCGGTTGTTCTCAAGCCCAAAAGCCAACCTTCACAGATCCAACAAAGACTTGGTTGGGTCGCGTCAGCCTTCCCAATTTTTTGGTCTTCCTGACAACTAATCGTTATTTAGGACAACCAGTTTCCACCAAGTCATCAACCGGACGACCTAACATCAAAGTCACAAGAGCTGGTCGTTCAATGGTTAAAGTTAAATGACTAATTGCTAACTAGTCAGCGGCTTAATAACTATGACCCCATGTAGCTGCGATTAATGTGAGGTTTGCGATGATGAGTCTAGAGAGTAGCTTGGTTTCATGAAAACTCAAAAAGAGAGATCGGATAAATAATCCCTTCCAATATCACCTTATGTTTATTTTGCATTTGAGATTTATGTTGAGGGGAGGAAGTTGTGGATACAAGCTGAGGAGTACATATGGCAAGAGAAGCCTTCAATAATTAACACCCTCAATGAGCAATTAAAACAACTTTAATACAGTCTATTTACCCCACCCCCCATCTACCAACACAACATACTAGGTTTCATGTTCCATATGAGAAGGAATAGTTTTCATTGAATCATCGTAAAGCAATTATATTGAAGAAAACTTCATCCAAGTGTAATGAGCAAGATATGAAGACATACTAGTAATGCATGCAATTATATTGAAGAAAACTTCATCCAAGTGTAATGAGCAAGATATGCAGACATACTAGTAATGCAAACATGCCAAGGCAATAGACGATTAAAAAATTACATAAAATTAAAAGGAGGGTACAGTGGCACACCAGGAATGGCATCTTTTAGGTATTCTTCTTCAGCCGAAATGTCAAAGAGCCTAGTAGAATTTAGCAGTGTGTGATCTAGATCAAGAACCAAGTAAAGTTTTTTTCGCTGCAGCAGGTTCTTCAAGTCTTTTTCACGTAGTCTAGCAACCTCATCAGAAGCAAGCCTTAAATTCTGCAAGAGAAGTCAATACTAAAATCAGCTTATTCCGTCTACTTCAAAAGCACTTGCCGGATTGCTTAAGTGCAGGTGTTTGATTCACCACATAACAAAGCCTGCTAGCATAAAAAAATAGGCTTTTGAATGTATCATACAGTCCTACTGTCCTAGTGGCACTTACTTAGGTTCAGTGTTGTTATATATACTATATAGTGGCCATGGCAGAATGGCATGACGAATTTCTTGGAAGCTGCCATAAGCAACTTGTGAAGAGCTTCAGCCCATGGTGGCACTATAGGCTGCAACCTAAGATTTTATGGTGGAAATTCTGCCATGCTCCACCATCCAACATCCAACATTGATCATAGTGTTCGAATTAGACATGACACCATTCATATGGGTCATAACTACTTTATACTATAATTACACCAGATTGAATCTCGTTTAAATGAATAAAATTATATACCTAGAAGTAGACCTGGCAATCGGGTCAATCGGTTCGGTTCCGGTTCGGGTCTTTTCGGTTCGGGTCTCTTTCGGATATATGTTATAATCGGTTCGGGTTGGTTCGGGTCGGGTCAGTTAGGTTCCGGGTTTAATTCGGTTTGATTGGTTTTCGGTTTTGGTTCGGTTTCGGTTCGGGTTTGTATCGGTTCGGGTTATATCGGTTCAGGTTTGTATCAATTCGGGTTGTATTGATTTGGGTTTATATAGATTTAAGTTTATATCGGTTTAAATTTATATTAGTTCAAGTATAATGTAAACACATACTAATAAATGAATAAATCACATAATAAATTTAGTTAATTTAGTTAACTACGGAGTATAATTTTATATACTTTCTATAAAAATACAAAAGTATTTTAACTTAAGTTATAAAATGCAAAGTAAAAGATTTGTACATGAAAGTAGTTACATGGTTTGCACCCATAATTATGTTTTTTTAGAAACACATCAACATATGTAAAAATATATAGGTAATTCGTTTTCTCCAAATTCATTTGATAAATGAAATATTAATGAATTTGATCAATTTCGGGTCTAATCGGGTTCGGGTCTAATCGGTTCCGGGTTTAACTGGGTTCGGGTTTAATCGGTTCGGGTTTAATCGGATTCGGGTCTGAATCGGGTCGGAATACATTCGGTTCGGGTTCGGTTCCGGGTTATTCGGTTCGGGTTATCGGGTCCGGGTCAGTTTTGCCAGGTCTACCTAGAAGTGGGAAGCATTTTAGAAAAAAATGTGGCCACAAGTAAGATATCAGATGCCAAATACGTAGTAGCAAATATCTGATAAATAAGATTGAATGAATACCCTATGAATGTAGCCAAAAGACACGCCAGATTCATTGTCATATAGTTGCCCACACCGTATACACATTCCACCTATCACACCTGGATGTGTACACATTTCCATTTCAACTGAAACACCAGCAAAAGTTTAAATGTAAGGAAACAACATCATTCAGCATATTATAGCATAGTCGATGTTAAGAGGAATATATAGCACTTCCACATTCAGATAGATAGACTAATATGTACCAATGGGTATCAAGGAACTCCCACACCAAACACAATAGATAGAGTTGTATGCGGTATGTGCGTGCAATCCGTGCATGCACACACACACACCATCCATCCCAAAATGAAGTGTACACTTTTTCACTTTCCCTTTTAGAAAATAAATGTCTCTTATAATTTCTCTTGTAAATAAATTTCAACACTTTTCAATTTTCAACACTTTTTCAAAACTCCATGAAGTAAGCACGTAAACTTCATTCAAGGACGGAGGGTGTATGTGTATGTCTATACATACACACACACACACACACATATATTTGTGTGTTGAAGTGGTTCAATGGTTTGATGCATCCCTCTTGTACTTTGTGAATTTAATTTCAAACTTTAAGCACCATTTGTGTGTGTGTATATAGGGAGCGTCTAAAATGACACCAGTTACTTATACACCAATTGCTTACACCAGTTCGTTTGGGGTACCTACGGTGCTCCGTTTGTAAAAACGACGGTTCCTACCCCCCCCTAACCCTCCCCCTAAACCCCCCACCCTAGCCCCACCCGTGCCCCCCCACCCCAGCCCCCCCTCCTGCCCCCCTCCCTACCCTGGCAGTACTGCCAGGGTAGGGAGGGGGGCGGGAGGGGGGGCTGGGGTGGGGGG